TGCTTATTTAACTTATATGCAGAATACATCATGCGAAACTGGACTGGATGAATCCCAAGCCGGAATTAAGATTGCCGGAAGAAATATCAACAACCTCAGATGTCCAGATGATATCACTCTGATGGCAGAAAGTGAGGAGGACTTAAAGAACATCTTAATGAGGGTGAAGGAGGAGAGTGCCAAAAATGTTCTGAAGCTCAACATCAAAAAAATTAAGATCATGGCCACTGCTTCCCTCACCTCCTGGTAAATAGAAGGGGAAGATATGGAGGCAGTGACAGATTTTACTTTCTTGGGCTCCATGATCACTGCAGGTGGTGACAGCACCCACTAAATTAAAAGACACCTGCTTCTTGGAAGGAAAGCGATGACAAACCTCAGCAGCATCTTAAAAAGCAGAGACATCGCCTTGCCAACAAAGGTCCGCATAGTCAAAGCTATGGTTTTTCCAGTAGCGATGTATGGAAGTGAGAGCTGGACCATAAAGAAAGCTGATCGCCAAATAATTGATGCCTTTGAATTGTGGTACTGGAGGAGACTCTTGAGAGTCCCCTGGACTGCAAAGAGAACAAACCTATCCATTCTGAAGGAAATCAACCCTGAGTGTTCACTTGAAGGACAGATGCTGAAGCTGAGGCTTCAATATTTTGGGAATCTCATGAGAAGAGAAGACTCCCTGAAAAAGACCCTGATGTTGGGAAAGTGTGATGGCAAGAGGAGAAGGGGATAACAGAGGACGAGATGGATGGACAGTGTCATTGAAGCTACCAACATGAATTTGACCAAACTCCAGGAAGCAGTGGAAGACTGGAGGTCCCGGTGTGCTCTGGTCCATGGGGTCACAAAGGGTCTGACATGACTTAATGACTAAACAACAACAAAGCTGTTTTAAAAATTAGAAAAGTTTTATTGACTCTCTGCTCCCCGAATGTGTGTGGGAACAGTGGTTTTTTTTTAATCATGTGATCAATGGAAGAAATGCAAAAAAGCCCACCGCAAATCTGTATCATTTCCCACATTTTTCCTAGTACAGTTGCACTGTCAGAAGCCTTGGTTTCAAAGTCGGGGGGAGGGTAGTTTGCAGGTAGTCATGAGTCCTATCATCTTTTATTTTTATCTAAATGCAATGCTGAGCAAACCCACCCAGCTGACTATTGTTCCTAACTATAATGATCCTGATGCTCATGTTTTTCTTCCTCTCTTTTCAGGGCCTGTTAAGGCAGCTAGTCATATTACCAGGATCTGATGCTACCTCACGGATGTGCACTGGCAAAAACCTTAATCTAGCAGTACTTTCCATCCCGCAAATTCTGCAGGAGCTCCCTGTGAAACCAGAGGGCAATGGGCTGCTGAAATACCCTTATGGTCAGTAAAAGGAAACAATTTTTGGATCGGTTCATCAGCCTGGGTTAGAATAAAGTTGAGGAGAGAACAATGCTGTCTTCATTCCCAAAGAGTTGATAGTGCACCTATAATCAAGGCAGTTCCAGAGTTTCAAAAAGTTCCTTTTTTGGAGCACAACTGCCAATAGCTGTGCTGTTCAAGGCATACTGGAAGATGTAATTCAAAAATACTTTTTCCAAGTTCTATTTCAAGACAGTGTGTCTTTATAAGAAAAGTTCAGTACATGCAGACAAGTTCTAGGTCAGGAATAGGGAACCTTCAGTCCTCTACATGTTGCTGGACTACAAGTCCCATCATTGCTCACAATTGGCTATGCTGGTTGAGGGGACTTGCAGTCCAATCAACAGCTGGAAAATGGTATGTTTCCTGTCCCTGCTTGTTGTCCTTTGTATCTCCTCTCACCAATGGCATGCTACCTGGACTGAAGCATCTGTTTGCTTGCCAGTTACTTGTTGGCAAATCCAGAGGGCTAAAAGAAATGCACAGGCAGCTTTATAATTGCACATGAGAGCACACCAATACCTCCAGAGACATATCAAACTTATTTTGTTTGTGAAATCAGCAGGCAAACAGAGTTCTTTGTTTCCTCTTGATGCTAATTATAAAACAAAAGCATGCTAATTTGCAGTTTCCAGTGCTGTGAAAAATTCCATTGGAAAATCACACATATTTTACTGCCTAAGCTAGCTCCACCTTTAATAGTGAAGCTGCCCATTTTTCTTTTGGCTCACAGTTTCACCAGGATTTGAAAAGGAGAAATATAACTAAGTGTTTGCCATTGGCTGGGACTTCTGGGAGTAGACATTCACATAACAAAATCCACCACTGGGAATTCCTGATGTAGATGTTAAACAGCACAAAATGGAACTCTGGGGAAACTCTGTAGGGTAATTTGCAAGGAACCAGGAGTCCCACAATATAAGTTTCTAGGAAGACCATGTCATTGTTTATTTTATGACAAAAAAACTGAAATGTAGACAGAGTTGATGGTGAGATTAGGTATGTTTTGTGTGAGTGTACATGCACAAAGGTGTGTGGTGACAAAGAAAATGTGGTAATCAGAATCAAAGCCACAAACTGAAAGGGGAAAAAAAGAATTTTGTGCTTATTGTTAAGAACGCTTCTGTTTAATTTCTTGTTGCCTCAGAGTACTTAACCAGTCTTGTGATGGTTTGTGCTTAGTCTTGTTATTTGGGGAGGGCCTGCTAATCATCTTCACCAGAAAAACAGAAGGTTAATCCCACAGGTTTGTACTCCAGATTTTATTTTCCTATGTGAAGATAATCTTCATATAAGAGAAGATGTATCAAATCCTATTGGTCATTTAATGTTGGTGGTAACTGCAGTGGTAAATTGCCACTAATTAACGGGTTGCCACTATTATCCTTTGTTATACAGTAATCACAGAGTTGGTGCCTGCTGGGAGGAAACAAGCAGCAACTCATTAACTAGTGGCATTTCACCACTGCAGTTTTAACCATGGCACTTACAGCAACATAACTAACCAATAGGATTCTGGCCAATGTCCTAGAATATCTAACTTGTAGGTCCATGTGAATTCTGCAACAAACATGATTCTAAGAAATTAAATATCCCATTCAAATCACCCTTCAGGTTATTGTACAGAGTTAAGTTAATATGATTGTCAATGGTTTAGAAATTATGGAGTGATGTGTGCTCAATGACCTGAGATGTTAAGCAAAATTCATTATACCACATTTAAAATGAGGTAGCATTGCCTTCTCTCACATCAATGTTTCTACCACCTCAGTAAAAAAAAGAGCCTTCCACTTTGATTAAGAAAACAAGAATGCAGTTACTATTACCGGAACCACCTGAATACACTTATGTATCACACAATTTATTACCCATTTAATCTTAAGCCAAGTAGAAGATTTGTACAGATATAGTAGATTAGTATGACTCTGGTAGCCAAGATAACTATACTAAATTTAAGAATCTTTTTCCTGAGAATATCATACCTGTCAATTTGCAAACTAAGCAGGAGAAAAACCATACTGGACTACAGTATTTGCCTCATGAGTTTCAGTTGGTCTACTGTAACCCAGATGTAGCCCAATGGATAGAAGAGCATTCAAACTGAGAAAGAGAAAACAAATTTGTTTTCTCCATCCACTATTTTTCCATGTTTGTTCAAAATAATTTGTTATTTTTAATATTTTAATATTTCTGTTTCTTTTTTTGTTTTCTATTTTATGAGTTGTAACTCACCCAGAGTAGTGCTGTGATGAGTTACAAAGTGAACAAACGAACAAAGAAACAAACAAAATTTAAAAATCCAAAATGTATTATATATATATATGGCATTCTGCATTTGAAGACAGTGTTGTAACGTGTGTGTATGTGTGTGTATGAGAGAAAGATAGAGAGAGGATAACATTGCGATTTTGTGCAATGTAATACATACAGGATGTAATGAAGTGGCATTTGTTATGGCACTAGAGCACTGTTTTAGGCTTTTGATGTTTTTTGTCCTTATTGTTCAGAAACAGACATGAAGGTGACTTTAGGGTCCCGCCCTCCTTGCACCAAGAGTGAGAGTGGCCAGTTCTGGTTCAATGCTGCTCAGAAAGGATTGTATCTGTGTAATGGGAGTGAGTGGATTTCCATGCTACAAGGTAAACACTTTTTGGGAGTGGTGGTTTGGTACATTTAAAAGCATTGACTCTACAATGGAAATAAGTATTAGGACTGTTAGCAGAGAATCAGTCTTGTTCCTGAAAACTTTGGGAGGGAAGAGGAAAAATATCTTACCTGCTTCCCTGAACAGAGGTGGGGTTGCTGAACTGGGACCTCCCACAGGCAGTTTCTAGCCCATAGGCCACGGCGTCCCAATTTTTGCCTTATAACGTATTGTAATGAAGCCAAAATACATGCAAGCTAAATCAAATACCTTAATTAGGAAACAGCCAGAATCTTGTTGGGGATTTTTGCCACCATAAGTGTCATTACATAAATTAAGACAGTGAATTAATTACTTTCCAGTTTCATTTCTGGTTATGCGCCAGCTGTACAGTTTGGCATGTGACCACAAATGCAAGCAATAACTGATTAGTTAGCAGTAATTTGCCACAGCAGCTTATATGATTACACAGACCAGGCCCCAACAGAATTCTGGCCAATATTATTTTTCAGTACATCCCAGAATTCCCCAGTTCGGGAATTACAGTTGAACTGTCATTCCAAGAAAAACCCTACTCCCAGTCTACAACTGTAACATTTTCAAGCTTTGGTAATCACCTCTGTTTCTCCTTCTGCTGCTTTTGTGTGTCAAACTAGACAAAATACTCAGCTTGTATCATAATATGATAGCATGTCTTCTAGGGACTGGATATTCTCAGAGATACATGTCTGAGCAATCAGACTCAGAGTTACCAATCATAAATGAACAAAAGTGAATTTGCAAGGTACAAAGGTGAGAGACCCTTGCACTAGGAGAAGGTGACAGCTTCTATCAAATAAAGCTGCTCAGTTTCTAAATGTGAAGTTCGAGCTTAAGTCTCCAGTGATTTCCTTCTGACAAGATTAAAACTTAAGTCATCACTTGAAATCCCTGAAATTTCTCACCATTCAGAAGTGAGATGTGTATGACAGTTCCATTTGTTGAGAATTGTGCAAAGTGGAGTGAAGGAAAGACTTCTTAGAACATTCTCAGATCAGAAGTAAAGGTCCATTTCTAGGAGATTTTGTAGAAAATCATGAAAGTTAATATGCTATTATTATTATTATTATTATTATTATTATTATTATTATTACTGTTGTGTTCATAATTATTCAACCCCCACTGATATTGAATGTTTTGGTCA